ATCGAGTGTGTCTCCTTAGAAACTCAGGGTTCATTCTTGAGCCCTTCTTCTATCTGCTTACCCAATCACCAAGTCCTTAAGTTGCTTGCTTCTTGTTAGCTCTCAAAACAGTATTCTGCAGATTCGGTTTTTATCATTTGTCTCTTGAATAGTGGAAACAAACTCTCCTACCTTGACATTCTATATGCCAGTTCCCTTTGCCTCAAATTCATGTGTTATGTTGCTATCACAATGGGCTTTCATAATGTAAATAGAATTACTTCACTTCCACTGTAGCACCTTGCTTCTACCAAGGTAGTGTTCAAAATTTATTTGACCAACTAAAAAGCCATGATCTAATGGCATATCTCAACTTCCATTAATTTGTCCACCTATTGTTTCACCAAAGACCCCACTCCAATGTTAGATGCTGTGCTAGACACTTGGGATATAAAAAGAACATAGTGGTGATGGCCATTCCCTTGTCTAATAAGAAAGAGAAAAAGTAATTGCAATTTAGCAGGATACTTCTTTGATAAGGGAAGTTCAGGGTCCTCCAGGAACTCAAAGGAAAAGCAGAGAGGTTACACAGAGGTATGATGGCTGAGTCGGTTTTTGTGGGAGAAGAATAAATACATTTCCATTTTCAAAAGCTCTGTACCTATTGTGAGGGTGTGGGTTATGTAGGAGAGCTTAAAGATAGGAAAAGCTTTGTGATAATTTAGGTGAAAGGCATGGCAGGAGAGATGGAATCCAGAGGATGGATTTGAGTGTTTTTAAAGGGTAAAAAGCAAAACTACTTGGTGGGGCGTAACTGAGTGAATGTGGGGGGTAAATATGACACAGCCATATTTGTAGCCATTCTGCCCTTGTTTCTATTCCTGGAACTTATCAAGCAAGTTTGTGTCTTCAGACTGTGTATGTGGTCCTCTCTGCTAAACCTACCTAGCTCATTGCAGGGCTGACTCCTTCTCTGCATTCAGATTTCAACACAATTAGGTCTTTAAACCTGCCTTCCTTTCATATCCTTCATATACTCAATGGCAGCCACGTGCCAGCATTCTCTGACATCTTATTTACAGGTTCCCATGCTATCTGAAAGTAGCATATTCCTATTTGATATGGTAGGTAGGCTTTATTTTGGGTCTGAAAATACTATTACCTTTACTCCATATGGAAAAATTTTGAGCACTATCACCACGCCTGTTTTCCCACTGGAGAGAAGCAAGTCAAGGACATCCTGTCTTTCAAACACCTTGCCAAGCAGACAGAGAATGTTAAATGCTTAGGTGGGCCACCAGGAGTTTGCTAGAATGCAGAATCTTGGCTCTGCTCCCAGACAGAAGGAGTCAGAATCTGTATTTAGCAAGGTCTCTAGGTGATTTGTTCTCCAATTAAAACTTGGGGAGCTACTTCAGTGATGATAATATACAGCCTGAAATTAACTGGGACCTATAAGGGAAAGCTTATGTGCTGGAAACATCACAAACCTGGCTGGGGTATTTTATCAATGACAACACTTAAATGATTGTTGTGAAATAACAAATATTGTAACAGGGTGCTCCCTAGGAAAAGGGGAAGCTCCAGGTTCCTTTCCCCACCCAGAAGGAAGGTGGAGCTGAGCAGAGAAAAAAAGAAAGGGAATTCTGAGGAAGAAGGAAACAGGATGGAGAGCCATAAGGAGACCTGAGGAAGCCACATGGAGCAGAGAGACATGTGAAGAAACTGCTTGTTTCCTTGGCCCTGGACTGGTTGAAAGAGATGTGGGTGAGAAACCTGCGTGGAGGTTGACTATGGCAGTGTTTATATTGATTTTGATTGTGCTCTTTTCCTCCCACACTTGTCTGGCCATTTCTGACCCTTTTCCATGGGTCCCAACCAGAAGGTGCTTTAGTCTTGTGGTAGCTTTCGGGCCTTGCTTTGGACCAACCCCTTTTGGATTGACTTTTACCCATAAGGGGATGGATGACTTCCGGAGTTTGGTTTAGAAATTATATTCTTTGTTTTCTGTGTTCCTTTTCATTAAAGTCATATATTTTGTCTTCATGCGGCGGATGGCAGAACCTATTTCAAGTAGGCAGGTTTGGAGGTTCAGGGGTACACCTCTCCCTGCCCTGTAACAATATAAAAGGTCTGGTATGTGGTAAAAGCTGAATAAATCAGTGTCTCTCTTCCTTGGAAGATTTCAGCACCAGTAACTAGCAGACCTGACCTCTTGTGCTGGCATTTTCACCAACTCACTAAATCATGAGACCAAGAGTTGGAAGGAACCTTTATATAGAAGCCATTTCTCTTAACAGCCTGTGTTAGAGTGTAGCACATAGCTAGGCTGGTGATCAAGTCTTGAGTTCTCTGACATTTATAAAATTTAGGAAGAATACCCTCTCTTACCTCACAGGTGGTATCTAATCTTACACAAGTATGTGAGAACTCTTTTGTAAGTGCAAGTTATAATTATTGTTGGCTTTTAAATTCTAGATTATTTTACACAGGTCGGGATTTGTAAGATTTCCTCTATCAAGCAAATTGGAGTTGACTAAAATCTACCAAAATCTTTCTAAACTCACACCCTTGAGAAAGGATAGAGCTGGGAGGAACTGCTGTTGTAAGTGGTAATTACCATAATCACATTATCCTTAAATCACATAGATTTCTTTCTAAGTAACTATTTATGCCTCAGCAGATAAAGTGCTTGTTTTAATCAAAATAAAACTCCAAAAAAATAAAGATCTTTTTTATTTACTAAGCAGTTGAAGAGATTTACTCACAGGGGTATGGAAAGGAAAGTTTAGGAATGTCTCCTCTTTGTAATGACTTTAGTGAAGGAGTAAATAAAAGATTTAAGAGCAAAGAAAATGAGTGGATTTCTGGATTGAGTCTCAGAGGAGGAGGGGCAAAAACAAATAAAAAAAAAGGTCCCTCTCTCCTGCATATAGTTTATGTATACATCTACATGGCTTCCAGTACTCTGAATTCTTCACTCCTCTGGTTTTGTAGTTTCCACTTCCAGAGTTATCTTCTTTAAAGAGAAGGTAAGTTTTCAGCAGATTCAGGGGAAAGGGCCAGTTTATTCTGGAATGGGGCTGAAAGTTGGACCAGGAAGAAGTCAACAACCTCTTAGTCTACTCACCTGGAACAGAACCGAGAAATCTGGGCATTTGTTCTGCCACTGACCTTGAGTTCACCTGCATTTGGCTACAGGTTTCCCCCAAATCAGGAGGTTGCACTAAATAGCTTTTAGTTGTAAAAATCTTATTGTACAGTGTTGGGTCCCAGCTGGGATGAGCCTCCCACCCCCGGAGCTTAAGCACAAGATCATAATAGGAAGAAGACATCTTGCCACTTGTGTGAGTGGCTTAACCTTTGGGCAACTGATTAATACCCACCCTGATCGCAGTGGCACATGTGAGGGAGATTTCCTCCTGCCCCCAAGCCAATATCCTGGGATTAAGGGTATAAAAGGGAGGCTGGAAAGGATAAGAGAGAGAACGTTTTGCTGCAACCATCTACGTGTGCTGACTCTTCAACCTTGACGTCCCCCGTGCAGACTCTTATCCCTACCGTGCGGGCGCGGCAGTACAGTGGCTAGCAGCTCCAAGCACAGACAAAGGTAAAGGAAAATAGAAGTGGAAAGAAGAAATGGCGAGTGAGTTATAAAAGATTGGGATTAGGAGAGAATACAAGTGAGGCTTAGTGGTTCGATGCCAAGAAATTGCTATCTCTGGTAAAAATGAACTGGTGGGGATGGAGAGGAAAAGTTTTATTTTCTATTTCATCCCTTTTTATCTCCACCACCTCTCTGCCTTCAGATGACACACCTAATGCAGCCTAAGTGCAGGACACTTGGCCCTATTAATCGCTTTGACTGAAGTTTGATGCAAGCCCATCATTGTAGCACACTTTGGCTTCAGAAATACTCCCCACCAAATACCCCCGGTGACCTCTGTATTTTGTTTTCCTGTCAGGTCTCAGAGGCTTTCAGGACAACAGCTAAGTGTTAGTAAATGGGGGAGGACGGTCGGTGTCAAGAACAAGGGGCGGCCCAACCGCGCGCGTGCCGCAGCCAGCGGACGGACTACATTTCCCAGCCTCCATCGCGCCTGACCACGCCCCACGCCGCCGCGATCCCGCCCCCTCGCTCCAGGCCGCTTGGCCAGGCACCCGCCTGACTTCCCAGCGGCCCCGTGCGGCCCGGGCATGCCCAGTGCG